TGCCCGGAGTCGTCCGAAGTCTGGTGGTGAAAGTCCAACGCTTGCACACGGCAGAACTCACCGCATGGCTGCTGATCACGGACGGAGCTACGTTCAAGGTCCGACCGGCATTGGATGTCCAAGCGAGAAGTGAACCGCAGCCGGTGCTGGATTACCACCCGGAAGATGAGTACAGGGACCTGATACTGTCTGACTTCAACCTGCTTAGACGGACTTACGTCCTTCGGTTACGTAAGGCAGGTCTTCGCTCTATCCGAAGCCCAACGGGATCGTCCATTTGGGAACAAGAGCAGAGAGTACTACAAACTAATTCTGCGTCATTGCGAGCTGTATCCAGCCCGTGGCCCGAACAGCCGAGGTGGTCAGTGCATCGTCTAAGCGACCGCAGCACTGACCACCTCGGCTGAGGAGTCCACTTGGGTCTTTACCATACCAACTGCCATCGTCAACGACGTCCGCCCGAGATGGTGCATTCAGAGGTACTTCGGACCCTGTCCCGAGCTTGGTTGGTACCTCCGATGAGTCGTCTTACGGTGTGATGTTGAGTTCGTACACGTCTGAATCATACTGCTCTGGCTCGTCAGGTTCACCGACACTTGGTCACAGTGCGGCATCGCATATGCCTTCGGCCGGGTTCGGTCAGCTGGTAATGCCCGCCCAAGCGTCAGGGACTGACATGTTCGGAGGGGAACTTGGATTTTACGTGACGCGCGAAACGTTCGAACATCCTGCGTTGCCCGATCCACAAGATGTCACCATGACGGCTGCGACGTCCGACGCGAGTGCGAGATCAGCTCGATCGCGGAAGTCCGAACGGAAACATCGGCAGAAGTCCAGGCGATAATCGTCATCTAGCGAGTCGGACTCGGACTCAAGCAGTGCTGGTCATGGTCGACGACGGAGCTCTCACAGGTCTTCGTTCAAACACTCTTCGCGGAGACGTTCTCGGTCACGAAGGTCCAGTCGGTCTCGAGGGTCGTACCGATCGGAGAGGTCCAGGCGAACTGGATCACCCATCTCGTCCAGAGCAGCGGAAGCTTTGGTGCCAACACTACATCGGATGCAGCAGCCGTGACGCACCTGGACGAGAAGGTTTCCGCGGCGTCCAAGTCTGGAATCAGTACCGCTCAGCCCCAGTTGGATTCACTATCACTGGGAGAGGGGCGTGGGACGAAAGGCTTGTCACCTATTGCGGGACCGCTAAGAAACTTGACGCGCCAGACGCAACGGGAGGTTGAAGCGGGGGTCCAGGCTGCAGCGCACCAGGCCGCACAGGCGGAACGGGCGCGTACTGATGCCACTATTGCACAACGTGTGCAGCAGCAGCAAGTCGATGCGAAACGAAGACACAAGCTGAGCAAGCAGTCTGGGAGCCTCAGACACGTCAGAGTATTGAAGAACTTGAGCGGTGACTCAAAGAATCAGAGGCCGCCCGCAAGGAAGACCAAAGAACAGCGAAGAACATCCAAGAATTCCACGTGGGACTGTTACGCGACCTTCGGGCAACATCTGCCAAGGTTCACGTTGGTGTGCCAACAGTCGATCCCAAACCAGTAACTGCCAAGCCAAGTGGGAATGATTACCCTCAAGTGACAACTACCCAGCGCGGCGTGGGAGAGGGGGTTGAAGTCCGGCCGGAACCTGGGTTGAAGAACGTTCCAGGTGTGGTGCTCGACCAGTTGCGTGCGACACTGCCAGCTGCCGATTCGCCCGAATACCAGAAGCGCGAAGCCGGTTGAGGAAAAAAGAAGCACGCCGCGAAGCGTTCGCGCCCAGAACGAAACAAGATGCCCCGGCAAGGGGTCACCTACATGCCGACGCTCCGGACGTGAAGTCCCAGTCGAAGAAAAAGTCGTCCAAGAAACTGACGAAATCATCGCGGAAGAAGTCTCGACGTGGCGAAGACCCGTCCAACTCAAGTGGGAGCTCAAGTTCAGAATAAAGCAGCGATCATTCAATCGACAGCTCTGAGGATAGCCTGGAAGAGGATATCCCGTCACAAGTGGTTTTGCCGTCCGCAGCTGGGGCCGGAACTACAATACAGACGTAGCGTCCGTATGTGAACTCCGCTAAGCTCGGCATGTTCGACGAGAAGGCCTCGATCTCTGACCGGAAGAATTGGTGGGAGAAGTTCACCAATATGTACGTCCAAGGTGGGTGGACCAGCCAGGTCAAGATTCGAGAGTTGAAGATGAAGATGCCGTCTGTAGTTCGCAATTGACGTGGGCAACTTCCGAAGCATGTGCAATCCAGCTGGAAGAATCTGCCTGCAGTGTTCCGACGGGAATATCTGAAGTCTCATACGTCAGAACCCGAGCGGTACTTCACGATGAGACAGAAGTTGTCGGAAAGCGCATTGGATTTCTTTTTCCGGTTGAACGAAGCTGCCGTCAAGATGGGAATTAAGTACCACAAGTTGAAGAAGGAACGAGTGGAGCACATCAAGCGTTTCCTCAAAAACCTGAAGGACTCTCAGCTGATGGTGGTATTGCGTAAGCAGCGTTTCAAGGACTTGGAAGATTTGGTGTATGTTCTGAAGCAGGACAGAGATGCTGTCGTCGACGGGTGTGTCAGCTCGTCATCCCAGAAGCGCGATTTCCGAGCGGACAATATCCCGTCCAGCCGACATCGACCAAATGGTGTGCATTCGTGGGCATCATTGAGGATGAAGCCGGATGGGACTCCGAAGGACATGTTCGTTTCGAAGATGGAGCGGAAGAGGTCAGTCCCCAAGTGGAGCCGAAGACAGTCGAAATGTGGAAGCGCAAGTGGACCAATCAGAACTCAGCCGACACCTACCGAACAGGATATCCACAATGCTGTGTATCGTACGATGGAAAATGCTGGTTGGAGACCACATCAATCAGGATCCCACTCTGGATGGCAACCACCTCGACCCGGATGGCAACCGCCCCGGCCGAGTAAATCAGACCGGAACGAGTTCTGCGAGAAATGTATGAAGTTCGGACACAAGGAGCACAACTGCTGGATCGACATGGTGTGTAAACGCTATGGCAAGTATGGCCACCCGGTCTATGCGTGTCGGGCCCCTCCGTGCCCTTACTGCGACAAGTGTCATCAAGACAAGTGTGAAGATTTCGAAACCATGGAAACTGTGAAGTATCTCGCTCGGAACGGCGTACTGAAAGGCGTGCCTCCCGATATCCTCAATAAATTGCTGGATGGGAAGGCTGATCTAGGGGAGTCGTTAAACTAGCTAGCCCGCTCGATGGGGATCCAGTACGCGCCGAGCTTAAGCGATTCCATGGATTGTGCGTCTTAGCGTAAGTTGGAAGAGAGTTGAGAGAGAAGGGATCAGAAAAACAACAATACATGACAATGAATCAAGATTATCCTATCGAGCATGTCCAAGTCCAAACGGACCTGACCGAAAGTGAAAGTCCCGCTGAGTTTTCACTACAACCTGGGCAACAATATGGTTGGTGAGAGGATCATGAAACGGTTGGCAGTCATGATGTGGCTATGGTGTTTGGAGCGGTCAACGATAAACGAACGAAGATTCTACTTGACTAAGGAGCGACCGGAAGTATGATAAGCTTGGATCTTGCGCGTAGAATCAAGCTGAAAGTCCGGATGCTCGCAGATCCGATCAAGGTATCCGGGTTAGGTGGAGTCCAATCGTGCATCACCGCTATGGCCCGAGTGAAAATCACGCTTGGGATGAACGTTGTGTATGTATTGAATGTTTGGTTGGCAAATATCGGCGAAGATTTGGAAGTCCTGTTGGGAATGGACTTCATGCATGCAGCTGGGATACGACTGTGCGTGCGGGTAGGTCTAGTGAGGCTGCCCGACGAAGAAATGATTGTTATGTGCGCTGGGCCAAATCACGAACGAGTGGGTATAGATGTGCCTGTACACCCAGACGAGATTCTGCACCTCCAACTGGGCGAACATGCAATTGTCCGGGTGAGGTATGGCCAGACGAATCCCCAACGGGAAGTCGAGTAGACCGGCTGAGGGGGTTGTTGGGTGACACAGGTCATTTATGCCTCGAAGTCATGTGATGTAGCTGTCATGGTGGTTAATATCTCGCAGTCGAGACTGTGGTTAAGTACAGGGACTGTCGTGGCAAGGATTGTGGAGTATGGTTACTTTCTCCAGGCGGGACGATTTGTTCGGCCAGGAAGACGGCAATGTATGGAGCGGCACCAGTCGATCTACGAAAATACCAAGTTCATTGAACGACAGAGGTATGAACGGAAGTTGGCTGAGCTCGAAGAGTCCCTGCGACCACCCTGTGTATAGGCCCCAGAGCATCAATGGCCTTCAAATTTGTTGTTGCGTCCGGTGCCAAAAGCCACCACAGCCCGAGCGCCTGTCTCCAGGTCAATTCCGACCGGTAAAGCCAGGGAAGCGCTCAGTCAAAACGAACTCGGATGTTGGAACCCAAACGTGCGAGACTTGCGATGCATCAACGCAGACGGACACCGGATAGGTAAACAAGTGTGAGAATATCCTGTATGCGAGTCAAGCCAGAGCGTGAATAGAACATGAAGCAATCTGAAAGATCAGCAGAAGCCGAACGGGTTGACGCTATCGACGGCGGAACCGCACCGAACTCACCGAGCCAAACGGATGAGCGGACTCCCGTCCAGAAGTAGGAGGCAGAGTACATCCGAGTGACGAAGGCCACGCAAGAAGAGTTAGGCCTAGAACCGGGTGTCTACATCCACGAGGGAATTGAATTGATGTCTCAGTTGTGTGATGGCCTCATGATGGTATCCGATTTGAACGATCTCACGCCTGAGTGTGACATCTCCGAGGCGGATGTGGGAGCCCCCGGACGTACTACTCCAGCAGAAGAAGAACAGATGAGAGAGGTTGTCAGAGGACATTCCAAGATCTTCCTAGTCGACGGAAATGCGGCACCTGCCCCGGCACGAGGCGCGGGATGTGATATTGACGTCAGAGGAGCCAAACCTGTTGCACTCCGGCCAAAATCAATAGTTCTCAAGGTCGCCATGAAGGACTACGAGATGCTGAAGAAGCTCCTGGAACCTGGGTTCATGGAGATGTCTGACTCCGCTTGGGCTTCTCCTATCGTGATTGTCCTTAAGCAAAATGGAGTCGACATTCGCATGTGCATCGACTATCGTCTGGTAAACAGTTTCATTGAGCTGTCAAATTATCCGTTGCCGCTGATTGATGATCTCCTGGTGGGCTTCGAGCAGTCATGTGGTTTGTCATTAGACATGGCTAGCTGATTTTGGGCCATACGCATGACCAAGGGAGTCAAGCGGATATCGGCGTTCGTGTGTCCGTTTGGACATTGCCAATGAATCCGAATGCCATATGGCCTCAAGAATGCCCGCTGATGTACCAAGAGATGATCAACAATTGTCTCGGAGGATTCGTCAAACTACCGCCAGAAGAAGAAAAGACGGTGGATGGGAAGGCTTGAAGTTCCTAGGTCTAGACCCAGCTGAAGAAGGTGAAGTCCAGCGTGAGAAGTCCAGCCGAGAAGTGCCCATTCTGACGAACAAAATGACGGCCTTCAACGGAATATCCCGGCGCCATTACAGATGACTCCTGTCCTCGGACGGAGTTCCTATATCGACGACATTACACATGGGGATCCCACCTGGGATCAGTTGTGCGAGGACTTGAATGCTCTGCTATATCTGCTACGCTATTGGAATATTTCTGTCAGCCTTCCCAAGGGTGAATTCGGCAAGCTCACCACTCGGTATCTCTCTCATGAGATCAGCGCTGAGGACACTAGAGCTATGCCCAAGATCGCGAAGTCCGTCCAGGAATTGCCGTTCCCGACAACGCTCAAAGGTGTGCAGTCTTTCTTGGGAGTCTAAACTACTACCACAAGTTCACGAGGATTTCTCCGTAGTAGCAGCGGCCCTTCACGAGTCGACACACGAAAACATCAAGGCTGGAAGGGATTTGTCCACAGCCAAGAAATCGTTTGAGTTTCTCAAGCGAAAAATTGTGTCTACACCTCTGTTGGGTCACCCCGACCGGAACAAGCCGTTCGTGATCATTCCGCATGCGAATCGTTGGGCGGTATGTGCCGTCCTAGGACAAGAGTATGATGGAAAGATCTTGCCCGTACGGCTCACATGCTGGGTGCTGAATGAGACTGAAATTAAGTATCATGAGGCTGAGGAAGAAGTGATTGCGATCATGCGAGTACTGAATGTAGTCGAGAATCTCGTCCGCGAATGCCCGATCAAGGTCTACACACGGTATTCCGTCCTGTCCTGGCTGTTGAAGGCCAAGAGTGCCGACGGACGATGTGACCGGTGAGGAGTGATTTTGCCCCATTGGGACTTGGAAGTTCACAAGGTTCAGAGCGACGAAGACGGGTTAGCTGCTACCATGGGATGGGGTACCACCTCACGGGAGCACTTGGATGAAGTAGTCGAATCTCTGACCCCGCTTAGGAGGCGGGTGAAACCCCAAACGGTTATCAGTGTGGAGATATTGGAGGCGGATTTCGACGGTTATGTGCTGAGCTTCGGTGGTGCTGCCAAGATGTGGTGAAGCGAATTGCAGCTTGGCAGACCACCGAGCTTTCAAGGC